TCCGTGGTGCTCAGCAACAGGACAAGAGGCAATGGGCAGAAACTGAACCACAGGAAGTTCCATCTGAACCTGAGGAGAAACTTCTTGACTGTGAGGGTGACAGAGCATTGGAACAGGTTGCCCAGAGAGGTAGTGGAGTCTCCATCCTTGGAGATATTCAAAACCCGCCTGGACACGATCCTGAGAAATATGCTCTAGAGGACCTTGCTTGAGCAGGGGGGTTGGACTAGATGATCTCCAGAGGTCCCTTCCAACCTCCACCATTCTGTGATTCTGTGTGATTCTGTGATAACATATTTTCCTTTTACTGGGGAAAACTCCAGAATGTGGAAGTCATTTTTTTTTCTTAAAATGTGACTGAACTGACAACCCTTCCTAATATTCCTGTCTCACTACAAAGGGATAAGTTTCACTGTGGACCTGTCCAAATCAGTTTAAACAAGAACCATCTTAAGGATTATATTTTCCCCCAAGAGCTTCTTTTTCACATGCGACCAGGTTAAATCTTCACAGCATAAAATTGCTTCTGAAAAAGTCTGTAAGATCATTCATAAAAGTAAAGGCATTCTGCCTGCAAAATTATTCCAAAAATTCAAAGGTTGCAACCTCAGAATCTCTGCTCTGTTTATTTATCCTGAGGTACTGTTACTGCAGAGATTGTAAAAGTATCTTCAAGAAATTAGATACATTGCCTTTTCAATCTCCAAACTGAAAACAAATGTCAGTTAATGAATATTTGTCTGCAGGTGTTTTCAAATTTCTGCTTTTCTTTACTCTCCATGAGTTCATATGTTGACAAAAGAAGCAAAAATCATAGTTAAGTTTGCTCAGTACTCTACTTGAACGCATCAGAGCTAAGAATTGGGGAAACAAATAGTGAAATACATGTACTAAACCCCTAATTTAATCAGTTTTAAGAGTCGCTGTGATTTCAGTGAAGCCAAACCTACTACTCCCTCTTTCACCCTGGGACTGATTCAAAGCAAGAAGATGGAGTTCACAGAGGTGTTTCTGTGGGCTTCAGTGGACCTCACACCAGGCAGGTTCTCTCTTAGGTGCGTGCCTGGCTGGATGCCCCGGAGCAGCGTGGCTCCTCAGCTCTGCGCAGTCGCTCTGCAGGCAAGGCCAAGTCGGGGCTCCCTGTGCAAGGGCAGGCTGTGCGGGCGCAACCGCAGCAGCCAGAGCCAGGCCGTCACCCGCGCCAGCTACCTTCTCGGGGCTCGCTGAGGGGGGAAGCAGGGCTGCTGCTGAGTGTGCTTTGCCGACTTGCAGTTTGCCTTATCCTGCTGTTTCACCTGCACTATAGGAACCGGTTCTAGAGATTTCCATCCCACCTCCCCAAATACGAAAAGAAGATAGAAAAAAATCTGTAAAATATTCTCTCTTCTCCATCTGAGGTATAGAAATTATCTTACTAAGGTTAACTGTGACTTGGATGCAGCACACATAAAGAGCAGGGAAGAGAGTGTGGATTATTTTCACACAAGCTTTTAATTGTGTTGTAATGAGGAAGACAGAGGGGCTGCAGTAAGACACGAAGAACTAACTGCGAGTGACGGTTTTCAGAAAGAAATTTGAGTTCTAAACTAATAATGTGGTGTCATTGACTCACAAGAAAAAATGCATTACGGCTTTTATACCAATTTCTATTGTATGTAGTTTGATAACTGGCAATAACGCTTTTGTTTAATAATTGCTAAATGATATGTAAAAAATAATTGCACTGTGCATACATTTTTTATTATCTCTACCGAGAAGGTGGAAACAGCCACAGAACAAATGATTCACACGCAGTCAGCTAATCTTTGTTATTTAAACCAAGCTACTTGTCTAACGGTTTTACGATGCATTTTCCCTTTTATCTCATTGCCTTTGGAAAACTAGCACAGCAACAACGATGGAAACGTTTGAGGAACCAGATAAGCATAGTATGAGAAAAACAAACACTATTTTCTCCTCCGGGAACCACTGGAGCGACAGGCATTACTCTCCTCCCTTCGCTTTGCAGGGATGTAGGGTGCTTTCTTTCTTAAATACTGCCTACAGGCCACGTCCTCATCAAGGAGCCTGACGACTGAATTTTGCAGTGCTGCCAGGCTCTTGTTCGAGCGCGATGGAAAGCACTGCTGCTCAGGTCGGCTTCGGGGTCAACACAGCTCCGAGCAACGAGCTCAGCTCTGAGCTGAGAGGGGGAAAAAAACCCTCTCTCAGCTAGACTCCCAGGTACTTCGTGCCAGGAGGGCCTGTTTCCACACAGAGCGCAGGCGGCGCGAACAAGGAGGCGGCACTTGGAGCCACACAGGACGGCACCGCCCCCAACCGCCGCGC